GAAGCCTCAGTTTCCTCACAAGGCCTGACGCACAATAGGGGTTCAGAGACAGGTTAGGCAAAACAGAAAACAAGAAACAAACAACAACAACAAAAACAAAACAACCCTTAGGTCCTTGTGTCTCAAAAAACAGCTCTTGTCCCCACTCTGCCTACGTCACAGCACCCTAGAGCCAGCTTTGGGTGTCCAGGCCCCATAACTGCCCTCCATCTCTTGTTTCCTCCATTTCCCCATGGAGGGACACTGACAGCAGACCTCTCTCTGAGTTTTCCCCATCCAGTCTCAGGCATTCTGGCACTCAGGCTGAGCCCCCATAGGTTCTGTGGTCTCATCTGAGGAATCTCCCATCCTGTCCTGTGCTTAGGGCAGATGGAAGGGAGGAACAGCCCAACCCCAACCTGGCTGCAAGGCCAGCTTTATTGCTGCTGTGCCTGGGACCCGAGTCAGATGCCCAACCTTGTCAACCTTACCAACAAAATGGGTCCACAATCCACTGTCAGAGTGTGCAGGTGGGAGAGCTTCGACATTCCCCAACTTACCAGGAATCTTCAACAGGCTGAGTTTGGATGGACCCGGAAATCCTCAGCTGTGTGGAAGAAGTGTGGTATCCTGCCTTATATGCCCAAACCAGAGAAGGAAAGAGAAAGCCCACTTCCAAGGAACTCGCAACCAAAACACACAGGAAACTTGCTGCTTCCTGAATGCTATCCTCATCCCATGCACCCTGTGGATGCACTCAGAGGAGTGACCTTCTAGGTTCTTCTTAGCTGAGCCCATTTCAAATGGGGGTCTGTGTGGTCTGGAGGGAAAAGTCCGGCCTCTGTGGACTAGGGGACCCTCCACAGGTCACTTCCTGTGCCTCCTGGGTTATGTTCAGTTCCTCCCTCCCTCACCTCCAGCCTCAGCCCCACCCCACCTCCTGGGTCCTGTTGGTGCTGACCATGGTGCTGCTGAGGATGGCCTGCATAGCATCTGGACATCTGCTTTCATGGGTTCTCCTTCCAGGAGCTCCTGCTCTGAACCTGGAATCACTAGGTTTCACATCCTCTCAGTGTCATAGGCCTCCAGACCTTAGTAGGCTCCCAGACCTTATCCCATCTGACTCCATGATGGAAGTACCACTCAGTCCACAAAACTCTGCACATACCCAGCACCACTAGACAAAACAAAAACAAAGACCCAGTCCATCAAAGTCCGCAGTTCTGGGAAAGTATCTAAATGTACTAACTTTGCTTTTTTGTCTTCTATATTTCCGTTTCTGGCTAACTGTTCTTGTCGACTGAAGTGTGTCAACCCAGGATGTGCTCTGTGTGCTTACCAGCTGACCCTGAGAAAGGCTCACCCTGAGGCCACACTGGGATTCTGAACCCTGGTGTAGTTGCTGGTAGACTAATCCATTCTTTCTATGGCCTTAAACCCATGTCTGAGTAGTCTTCTCTGGTGGATAACCACAACAGTTCTGGAATTCCCACAGAGATGTCCAGAGACACCAGGTCTCAGAAACCCTCAGAGCAGGGAAGAGTCTGGTGGTCAGGGAGCTCCTGAGCTGTTCCAGGTCCTGTTGATCAACTCCTGCCTGGTGCTTCAGGGGACACCTCCACCCCCAAAGGAAACAATCTAGAGAGTCACCTGGCCGGGCATCTCTGCAGGTAAGTCTGGTCAAGGCATCTTCAGTGTAGGACACAAAGAGAGGCTGGATATGGCCACGGATGCAGTGTCCTGGATCTGTGTGAGACACCACAGACTCCTCGGGTCTGTTCAGTTGTAGGAACATGTGCTGGCACCTCTGGTGTCTTTGCTGTGTGTCTGCGTGTCTTTCTATGTGTTTCTGTCAGTTCTACTTCCCTGTATTGACCAGTGGCTTTCTCTGGTGTGCCACCCCCTTCCCCGCAGCTCCTGACCTCTGCCTTCATGTCAGGGACCTGAATCCTTTTGGCTCTGCCAAGTCACCCAAAGAAACCAGGAAGCCCTTCTCCTGCCCCGCTCCCAGAGCACTTGCTTGCATGGTTGCCTGATTCCCAGTCCTGAGCTGAGTCAGAGCCAGTCCCTGTGGAGAGGTGGGAGAAGCCTCTTATGAGAAGGGTCTGCCATTGAGCAGGATGAAGCAATAGGTTTTCCAAACTACACACTCCCTCTACTCCCCCTCCTCTGTCAACTTCTCTGAGCAGCCCCTGGGAATGAAAAAGTTCCCTGGAACAAAAGGGAATCTGTACTTCTTTCTCTTTCATATTATGAATGAACCCTTTCCAGTAAGTCATTTGTATAATTGAAAACCTGAAAGGCTACCCTTCTCTAGAATATGGTAGAAAAACCACCCCGGATCTGGAGGGGGTGGCAGTCATTGCTGGACAATGCAACCTGGACAGAATAGATTATCCCTTCTGTGCAATACTGACCAGGAAGGCTCTGAATAAATTTTTCCGGGTCTGAAAGATTTTCCTTGTCACCCAGTCAGACCCAGATATTAGAAAATAGTTATAAAACTGTAAAAATATAGTATGCAGTAGCTGAAGGTAGCTCAAACGCTTTTTAACAATAGAGATGGGATTGAGGATGAGACCCTTTGTATAAACTGAAAGCCACTGTCCCCTTCTCTGATGATGAGACACAGACTTACAGAACTCAGCAAAGTTTTGGGGTCCTGCCCTCTGTCGAAAGACTATCTCCTAGGTGAAAGCCATGCCCTACAATCAAAAGATATAGTTGGGCTATCTCTCAGATTGACAACCAAGATTCCAGGCAGAAACCAACCCAACACTAAGTTCCAATAATTGTTCAGCTAACCAGTTCAGCCACCCCCATCCAGATTAAGCAATACCCAATGACCCTGGAAACTCAAAGGGAATTGCAGCCCATATTGCCTGGTTTAGGAAGACAGGCGTCCTTGTGCCCTGCCTGTGCCCTTATTCTGATGCCTGCTCTCCTGCCTTTTGCCTTAACTCAACTGCACAACAGCAAAATTTCGAGCCCCTGCGACCACTTGGTGGCTATGTACTAATGGTTTGATTTAATATGCTTCTTCTGATGCTTTCCAAAATGAGAATCTCCTTTTATGTGTGTTAATACCCATTCTGCCCTTGGTATACCTATACAATGTGAAAAATATACCCTTGACAAAAAAACAAAAACAAAAACAAAACTAACAACTGCATTTGTCTTCATCCCACAACTGGTGGGAGCAGGCACAGCCAGTTCAACAGCCATTGGCTCCTCAGCCTCTATCACAAGGGATAAAGCTTTAAGGAGGAGAGTAGACAGGGTGATCAGGACCTAGAGACATGAAAAGCTTCCATTTCTGAATTCCAAAACAGTTAGATTGCCTTGTGGAAATGGTCCTACAAAAATGGAGAGGCTTAGATTTACATCTCATGAGGTATGTATGACTTTGGGAGAAACCTGTTTTCTATGTTAACCTCTCAGGAATAATCAGGAAAAAAATCTTGCTCTGTTTGGGGAAAAACCAGAGAGAGAGAGAGAGAGAGAGAGAGAGAGAGAGAGAGAGATTAGTTAGGTAATTGGTATCAGTTTCTGTTCTCTTGGTTCCCTTGGCTAACTACTTTGCTATCAGCACTGGCTGGGCCTTTAACCTCATTCTAGTTGGAATAATGATGAAGCCCTGCCCCTTACGTTATATGGCCAATTGTGTTTCAATAATTCAATAAAATTAACAGGCTTCAGGATCACCTATGCCTGTTTTTTTTTTTTTTTTTAAGATTTGTTTATTTATATGAATATGATGTTCTGCCTGCATGTACACCTGCATGTCAGAAGAGGGCACTGGATCGCATCATAGGTGGTTGTGAGTCACCATGTGGTTGCTGGGAATTGAACTCTGGAAGAGCAGCCAGTGCTCTTAACCTCATCTATGCCTCTTTAGAGAGGGATGAGTCCACTATTTGACCCATTCACTAAGACCAGGCCCCCAGACCCTAGCACAACTGACTCCCTATTTGCCCCTCCGTTAAAATGAAAACAGGGGTTGACTTAAGCTCCTGAATGCATGTCAAATGTGTACAAAGGCATCGCATATGAAAATGATTTGTAATTTGTAAATGTTATTCAGGAGATGCCTGGAGATGTAAAATCCTATCCTTTGAGTGAAAGATTTTTTTGGTTTTCTCCAAATGAATTTAAACTAAAGTTTTTTTTTATTTTTTTTTAAAGGAAGATTTCTAGGGCCATCCTGACACTTTCTCCCTGTTTGGTCTCATGCCACTTTCTCTTGTGCTGTTGATTGTTTCATATTCCAGTTTCCCCCAGCAGGCAGCAAGATTTATTTAACCAAAGTTGAACCCTATGGACAGAGACTGGTGATCTGAGACACCATCTCGCCTACCTCCCCTCCCCCAGCTTCAGAGGGGCCGAGGCTCACAGCTGAGTCTCTTAATCCCAGACTGTCCCATATTCGCACCCCGCAACGTGTTTGACCTCTTACTCCAGCATGGTTTCCCTGATACCCAGAAATCAAAAACTGACCCAGCATGACACACGAGGATTCATTTTAGTTTCATGGGTCCTTCAAGTCACCCTGGACCCTTCACAGTCTGGCCACTTGCCAAGAGCTCTATCCACTGTGCTGTCCTCACTAGCATCCTCAACAGCAGCACCAGCACCTGTCATCATGTGGAAGCTGCCTGATGGACGGGGGGGGGGACCGCTGGAGAGAAAGAGCTGCAGCCTGCAGAGCACCATCCTGTGGAAAGGGAGTCTGTGGGGACTCCTATCAACTGCTCTTTGGTTTCTCTGACCACCTCATTGCTTGCTCCTGCACACCCCTCTCTGTCTAACCACAAACCACTATGTGGTTTTAGTCCCATTCTCCACATTCTCTTTGGTTCCTCAGTTCAGGCAGCTATTACGCTTTGTTGACCCTCTAGCCGTCCATATGAACCTCACAGTGAGCCACAGAAATACGAAATTCTCAACCTTCAGTTTATAGACTCAATCCCACACTCTGCGCTTGCCCAACTTTCATTTCTGTTGCTGTGAAAAGACACAACTGAGAGGAGAAAGCTTTTATTTGGCCCACAGTTCCAGGCTATCGTCCACCATCTTGAAGTCAAGGCAGTGGCCCAGGCAGCTAGCCACAGTGCATCCACAGTCAAGAGCAATGAGAAACGAATTCATGCATGCAAGCTTCCAGGTATTCAGTCTGCTTTTTGCTACACACTTCAGAATGTATACTTAGGGAATAGGGCCACCCACAGTGGAGGAGTTTACCCACTTCAATTACAGCTGTTAAGACAAATCTCTCACAGGCATGCCCACAGGACAACTTGAGCTGGACAATCCCTCACTGAGACTCTTCCCACAAGATTCCAGATTGTGTCAAGAGGACAACTGAAACTAACCATCTCATCCCCCCTCTACCAAAATGGCTCAGCACCTTGAATCTGTCCAGATCATCGCCTCTGACCTCAATATTGCTTGAGGGCGGGTGGCTGTCAGTAAGGCTCCAGTAGTTCCTGCGGATCCGGGCAATCTCTTTCATCTTCCCCTCCAGCTCCTGAGGCGAGTCTTTGGCAGGCTCTGATTTTGATCCCTTACCCACCACTGCCCTGGCAATTCTCAGACAAATCCAGGATCAGTTGCTGATCTTTGTTCATCTCAAGAGGACAGGGGCTATTGAGGGCACAGGTGCTGGACCACCCAGAAAGAGTCACCTTCCCTCCAGGCTGCCCTTCCTTCTGGGCTTTGTATTTCTTCAGACATGAGTTTTCAGATTTGGAGTCTGTAACACAGTGACTGAGTGACCCAGTGAGCAACCACACACAAGGTAGGCTGATGATATTAAGAGTTCTTCCCAAAGAAACCAGTATGACAGCACAGCTGCTGTCTCCTTACCTCTTGTGTCCTCTTTTATAGGCTACAGGACCCCAGCAGCTTACAGGCAGAAAGCATGGGATTTGGAGTTGAGAGGACTTGGCTAACTCTGTTTTGAGACTGGAGCCAAAGCTGGGCCAAAGTTCTTGCCACCCTCCCCCCTTTCCTGCTTGATGAATTCCTGGAAAAAACACAGGAGATGGACATCCAAACAACAACTTCCCTGACATCTGGCCTGGGGCTAAAGTAGATATGAGGTGATCATTTCTTTTCCAAGTTGGAACCAATCAAGAATATGCAAATATTCCTTACCACGAACCCAACCAATCGTGGCAACAATTACCTAACCATGACTGGAAATCCCTCAATGGCTTAAAAAGGAGCCTTTGAGCTCTCAGGGTCACCGCCATTTTGTATGACTGGGCAACCCTAGCAAGCTGGCTGTCTCTGCAGAATAAATGATCTTTGATTTTTGCATACTGTTTGAGTCTGGGGTCTCCCTTCAGTGATTCTTGGACCCTTGCAGAGTGACCCTATACTTTGGTGAGATGTCTGCACTCTACTTTCCTGTTTCTGTGTCACTCTGTGCTGGTGGTACAGCCCAGTGGTAAAGCTCTTGTTCAGTGTGTAGGTCCCAGTAACACACACACACACACACACACACACACACACACACACACACACACACGCAAATCTGGGAAAGGCCAGGTCTCTCCTTCATACTTCCCTTCGGTCCTCTACTAATGCCTCACAAAGAGCCTCTTAGGATTGGCAGGATGTGTACCAGGAGGAAGAGTAGGTGGTCCCAGCCCTTCCTCTATGATGGCAGCTGGGGGCCTCCCTTCCCTAGCTGTGCATACCTCTCCAAATGGGGCAGGGTAGAGATTCTCAGCAAGTCTTGCTTCCCAGTGGCTTCAGGGCATCTTCCTAGGGCAGAGAGACCTAGGCTCAGGACAGCATGAGCCTGAAGATTTTTAATTAGCCCTAGGGCCAAGTTCAATCCCGTTCACACAGGACCTCCTGCCTATTGCAACCCCTCTCTTCAATCTATCCTCCCCCACCCACTTTTTTCCCACTGCCTTTTACTGTGCTGAGCCTCTTCCCTCACAGGAAATATCACTCATTCCCATGTGGTGCCTGAACCAACCAGGACGCCTTCATTCCATTGCTCAGCCTGCTGCTGTCTGGGCTCTGGAGACGTCCGTTGGAAATTGAGCCACTAGCTTCTGAAGACACAGCCCCATTGACGAAAAAAGTTTGGATCTGAAAGATCATAACAATTGTAAAGTTTCTAGTACTTTCTGCTTTTTCAAACAAAGAGATCATCTCCTCTAACCCACCTATGGTCTAGCCTTTGACCTTGTGATTTCATGGCTCATAGTACAAAATATGATGGTGCAACTTGTTTCTCCTTGGGCCACACTGGTTTTGTAACCCCAACCCCCAAGCACAGGAAAGCCTGTCTTCTCCACCTCTCACAGGTTGGACTGGGGCTAGGGGAAGCACAGCGGAGGCAGCCTGCCACCCACAGCCTGCTTCACAGACTCAGGATCCCAAGACACGGGATCCCAAAGGGCCTTGCACAGGTGCACAGGACACAGGAACCAGAGAGCTCCAGGTTACCTGCCTGCCTTGCTCTACAGTCTTCACATCCTCCATTTCCCGAGGAGTGGGGACCCACAATAGCCACCTTACCCCAGGAGTCTGCTGGCCAGGTCTCAGACACTTTGACATATGAGCCGAGCGCTGGGAAAGATGGTGATTTCATCTGAGGAGTCTTTACCCTTTCTTGTGCTTATGGGAGAGAGGAAGGGAGGGGCAACCAGGGCCCAACTTGGCTGCTAGTCTAGACTGTGTCCTGGGCTGATGTCTAACCTTGATCATCGTTCTCTTCCAGAGCTGCTGGAAGGATGAGCAGATAGGGAAGCTTAAGAAGTCCCCAACTTACCAAGAAATCGTCCTGAGGCTGAGCTAGAGGGAAATACAGCTGTTCTTCTTGTGTGCGTTGGCTTGCTAATTGCTCATCAGGATCCAGTCAGAAGCATCTGCCTGGGTCAGGTGATTCTGTGGGCTGTTTTCGCGTGGTATCCTTGGCCCCTCTGGTTCCTCTCATCTTTATTCTGCCTCCTCTGCAGGACTCCCTGAGCTCTGCCTAATGTTTAGCATTAGGGAGTTTGTGCTCCCATCAGTTGCTGGATGGAGTCTCTTTCTCTCTGATGATGATGATTCTGCCTGGTTCTGGTCCCAGGATACTCTGCAGGCAGGACAAAGTATAGATCAAAGGTTTTGTGGCTGGGTTGGGGTCCCGATCCCGCCACTTGAGGCTTTGCCTGGTTATGGAAGATGGCCCATTCAGGCTCTGTATCCCCCATTACGAAGGGGTTTTGCTAGGCTTACTCTCATAGGCTCTATGGAGTTTCCATTGCAGTAAGCATCTTTCTCTCACCAAAATGCTTCCCAATTCCATTTGTTTCTGCCAATATTTTCTCCCTCCCTCCCTACACCATGATTCCTATACTGTTCCCAATCTCACCCTCTCCTAGTCCACCTGTAAAATCGATTCTATTTTTCCTCCCAGGGAGATCCTTGTGTCTCTCCCATGCCTTGTTACTTGCCTTTCCAGGTCTGTGGACATTAACATGATTGTCTTTTAATTCACAGCTAATATCCACTTCTGAGTGAGTCCACACTATGTTTGTCTTCGTGGTCTGGGTTACCTCACACAGAATGTTTTTTTTTTTCCTGGTTTCATCAATTTGCCTGCAAATTTAATGATGTCATTGTTTTCTAATAGCTGGGTGTTTCTCCACTGAATAAATATACCACATTTTCTTTATCCATTTTTTTTTTTTTTTTGGTTGAAAGACATCTAGATTGTTTCAGGTCTCTGGCTTGAATAAATCTGCTATAAACATAGTTGAGCAACTATCCTTATGGTATAATGAGGTATCCTATGGGTCTATATCCAGAAATGGTACAGCTGGGTCTTGAGGTAGATTGCTTCCCAATTTTCTGAGAAAGTGCCATTTTGACTTCCAAAGTGACCACACACGTTGGCAATTCCCACCAGCAGTCGCCGAGTGTTCTATATGCTGTGGCTGAGTAGCTTGGTGTTTGGGGGAGACTCCTAACAGGAGGGGTGGGGACTGTCCCTGACTCTCTTGCCTATTTGTGGGACCCTTTTCCTCCTACTGGCTTGCCTCATCCAACCTTCATGTGATGTATCTACCCAGTATTATTGTAGCTTGGTTAGGATGTATTTAGTTGATGGCCCTGGGAGGCCTGTTCTTTTCTGAGGGGAGGTGAAGGGCAAGGGATTCTGGGAGACAGGGGAGGTGGGAGGAAGAGACAGGGAGAGGGGAGGGAGGAGAAGGAGAAGAGGAGAAGAAGAAGAAGAAGAAGAAGAAAGAAGAAGGAGGAGGAGGAGGCTAAGGATGGAGGAGGAGGATGAGGATGAGGATAGAAGCAGCAGCAGCCTACTCATTTACAACCAGCAACCGAAAGTGAACGACCTGCCTTCCTGAGCAAAGCCTAAGCCACACAATAGAATGTCTACCTCTAGGGAACCACCCATACCCCACCCTTCTGGCTGGCCCACACAAAGGGACAGCCTTAGATGCTCCACATCCCAAGTCCTTCTCAATCCATGACACTTTTGGTTGGGAATTCTCAGTGAACTTGAACAAGAAAGAACTGACATCACAGATTGTGGGACCCTCCGTAGATCATCCCCTCAAGGACTCTGCCCTGTTCACTCATCCTTTCCAGAATAGCACATCTCCACCCACCTCTATCTCAGCTGCCCTGGGTCTGTTCGTGCAGACAGTGGTGCTGTTGTGCCCAGGGTTTCTGGCACCTGAATATCTGCCTGCATGGGTTCCTCTGCCTCTAGCCCCTGTTCTGCACCTGGAACCATCATGCATTGCTTCCTCTCAGAAGTCCCCAGCATCCTCCATAGCACACTCCACTGTTTCCTTTTGTCTCTCACAGTACTTGGGAGTGAAATCTACCTCCTGGCCAAAGTCTTCCGTCTCTAAGCTCACAGAGCCCCATGGCTGTGGGATAGCTCTTCTCTGCTCTGCCCCAGGCAGAGGGAACTTTATTCAAGGCTAGACTAGACTCCAGGGTCCAGGTGAACTTTCCATCGAGATGGTGGGCACCATCCCACCTATACATTCTTTAGCTTGACCATCCCTTCCAGCTCCTAGGAGAAGGAGATACTTGAAGTGAAAATTTCTCATTTCTTTAAAGAGCAGTTGAGCCATGTGATGTTTTGCTGGAGGCTGGCTTATGAGAGGACACGTGATGTTCTGCTGCCAGCTCTCTCGAGTGAGGGGGGTTTCTTGGGCCAGGTGAGAACATCCGTGGGTGAACTCTGAGGAGAGAAGCTACACAGAAGCCCATGGACATTGAGAGATGATTTTTTTTTTTGGATCGACATCGCTGTGCTGATCTTCATGCTTCAACACTTGGCTTCGCAGAAAGAAACATCCCAGAGAACATCCCAGGGCAATCCACCTGCGTCTTGCAGCTTTTGCTGACTCGTCCTGATCTTCTGAATTGTGCTGATTCTTGTTGCTGGTTGGTGTTGGCTTTTGGACTGGACTGCTGACATCCAGACAAAGAAGAGTGGACTCAACCTAAGGAACTACTTCTAAAACCGTCTACAACCCCTTAACTAACCTACCTCTGGCCAGTGGGCTGCAGGGAGGTAGAAGTGTTTAAGAACTCTAAATCAAGTAAGTTTGGTGAAAAATCTAAGCCTACAGATACTTGATCTTCATACAGCTGCTGGTGACTCATTAACGTTTGATTAGAATTTTAGAATCATTTCCTAAAAACTAAAAACTCAGTGTTTTATTAAATCAACATCTTATCACTATTGATAGTAAGAGATGGCTATGAATTTTTTTCAGGTGGGAACATGTATGGTGAAAGTTATTTGTTTTCATATCATAGTTCAGGAACCAGTCAAGACTCCAGCCAAGAGCCACACTTTTTTTTTTTTAACCACACTTTCTTGTTTAAGATGATTTTCCCCCCTTCTGTATCCTGTCTTTAACTTTATCTCTGCAGTGACAGGACACCAAAGTG